AAAGTAATGAAAATCAATTTCTTAAAAAATCATTTTATTGGAGACTCATACAACTCTTATCACAACCCATACATCCATCCATTGTGTCAAGCACATTTGTACATTTGTTGCCATCATCATTCTCAAACATTTCCTACTTAAGCCCTTGGTATCAGCTCCTCATTTTTCCCTTCCCTAATGAATCCTTGATAATTTATAAATTATTATTATTTTGTAATATCTTACAATGTCCGACGTCTCCTTTCACCCACTTTTCTGTTGTCTGTACCCCAGGGAGGAGGTTATATGCAGATCCTGTGATCAGTTCCCTATTTCTCCCCACAACTTCCCTTCCCCTCCTGGTACCACTACTCTCATTATTGGTCCTGAGGGGTTTATCTGTCCTGGATTCCGTGTTCCCATCTTTTATCTATACCAGTGTACATCCTCAGGTCTAGCCGGATTTGTAAGGTAGAATGGGGATCATGATAGTGGGTTGGGGAAGGAAGCACTAAAGAACTAGAGGAAAGTTGTATGTTTCATCGTTGCTACACTGCACCCTGACTGGTTCATCTCCTCCCCACCACCCTTCTGTAAGGGGATGAAAATAATTTCTTTAAACACAAGCAGGCTAAGAGAAGACTGAGCAAAGGATATAAAATGTGTTACTGGATAAGAAAACAAATGAGCTATTAAAAGACAATCAACCAACAAACTGGGTAGCTTAAAAATGGGCAAATTCCTAGATACATGTAAACTTCCTACATTGGCTCAAAGAGAAATAAAAGATCTCGATTCTGCTGAGACAGATAACAGGTGAAGAGATTGAATCCATTATCAAAAACCTTCTAACAAAGAAAAGCCTTGGACCACAAGGCTTCAATGAAGAATTCTATCAATCCTTCTCAACCTTTTCAAAAAAAAGGAGGAAAATGGAATACTTTCTAATTCTATAAGGCCAGAATCATCATGGCTTTATGGCCAAAGATACCTTAAAAAATAATAAAACTACAAATAGCCTCTGAATACAGATGCAAAAATCCTCAACATAACCCTAGCAAACCCACACCAAAAGCACGTTAAGGAAAATGTCTATGGGGGTGCTGTATGGAAATTCTTTTTACTTCTTTCTGGCACCTTTTGCTATTATTTATTATAGAGATTTACTAATTTTTACTAACTTGTCACAAATCCTCCTCCACTCCTGAAGGACTGCCTAGAAAAATTATATTTATATGTTAATTAGAGAGATCAGATCCTCCTACTTTATGGTCACACCTCCATTGTGTATTATCAAGAAGTAAGAATGACAATAATCAGTTTTGTAAGAATTATAACCAGGATCAACTGGGGTTTATCCCGGGATGGGAAGGTAGTTCAACATTAGAAAAATCAATGTAACATTCAAAATTCCAAATTTACTGTCTTCTAGCCAATTTCAATTCACAGTGATCCAATAGCGGCCCATAGGGTTTCCAAGGTTTTATGGAAGCAGACAGAAGAATGTATGGTCAGGAGAAAGACAGGAGTTCAACCCACTGATCTTTTGCCTGTCAACTGAGTAATCTCACCACTACACCAACAAAACTCACTGCCATAGAGTTGATTCCAACTGATGCTAACCCTGTAGCATTGGGTAGAACTGCCTCTTTGGGATTCTGAGACTTTACATCCTTATGAGAGTGGACAGCTTCATCTTTCTCCCATGGACCAGTGGATTAGAACTTTGGACCTGGTGGCTAGCAGCTCAGTGTGTAGCCTACTATGTCACCGGGGCTCCTACTACACCATCAGCATTCCCTGTCAGTGGAATATACCACATTAACAGATGGACAAGTTCCACTCAACCAATGCAAAAAAGGCATAGACAAAATCCAACACTCTTTCATGATAAACACATTGACCAAACTAGAAATAGAAAGAACTATCTTCAATATAAAAGAAATTTGTAAAATGCAGTACACATCATATATCATCAAATGAATAAGATTGAGATCTTTCCCCTGAGATAAATCCAAAAGGAGCAAAAGCAGGAATTTCAATAGCAAAATGGTGGAAACAGCCTAAATGTCTAGTAACAGATGACTAGATGAACAAAATATGGTATATGTGTGTGTACGCAATCAAATATTACCCAGCCATAAAGTTCCAATCCACACTATAATATGTATAAACCTTAAAACTATGCTGAATGAAGTTAAGTCACTCACAGAAGACCAACTAGTGTATTATTCCAATTACATGAAACATTTTGAATAGGCAAAATGTATGAAAACTATAGTTTCTGAGTGGTTGCCAGAGCAAAAGGAAAGGAGGCCATCTTAGGAGACATTGAGCTTCTGTTAAGAATGGGAAAATGTGGAAATGGATATGGTGATACTTGCACAACAACTGATGTCACTGAAATGTCAAACTTGCAAATATTTTGTTATGTTTTACCATCAAAAAAATTTACCAACCTCAATTGTAATCAGAGAAATTCATTTTAAATAAGGTATCCTATGTTCATGAAATACACAAAAAGTTAAAATACTAATCTCTAACATTAGCAAGTGTAGAAAGAAACAAACTAATAAACTCTAAGCATAAATGTAAATGGGTACCGTATTCCCTTTGGAGAATAAATGCTTAAGAATCTATCCAATTTATAAATGCTCAGGTCACATAAGCCTGAAGTTTTATTGTTAACACTATCTTACATAAATGTTTACAAAAATAGTCTCAGATTAACATGCTTAAAAAAATTATGTTCCATGCTCAGTCTTCATTTGGGTTTCAGTAATTCCTCTTGGTTACATTACTCTTCATCACACCCTACCAGGCCTCCTACACCCTCTTCGCCACTGATTTGGATCACTTGTTGTTCCCTTGACCCTGGGTTTGTTAACACCACTACCTTAAACCCCACCTCCCCTTCTCCCATGTCCCCCCGGAACTAACTGTCGGTCCCGTTGTTTTCTCCTCCAAACTGTTCATACAGCCTGACTTATTTAGACAGACCTGTGGAGATAATAACATGCACAAAAACAAGATACTACAAGCCGACATTCAGCTGAAGTCCAGAGCACATGAACAGTTAAAAACAAAAAAAAGTTATGAAGCTGTTCACGAAAGTATTCTTTTCTACAGTGAAAAACTAGATTTAAAAAAATTACTGCTACATCTGTACAAGGGAACACTGTCAATGTACTTAAATATCGTTGCAGGGAAGCAAATTATTTAATGTGGTTCTTCTAGCCATAGTCTCTGTAACTGCCACCAAAAGACCTTTTCCTAGTACGTAAGAAAAGGCAGGGAAAGACAATGACAGGATTCAGTTGAGTGGCTGCTTACAGGACTCGGTGTGACTGCCAAACTGCTGGGTATTAACTAAGCCATCTGAGAAGGAGGGGGAACTTCACTACCAGCAAGAGCCAGGCATTGAGTGCAACCGCTGGACTCTGTGTGGTGAACCTGTGTAGTAAACCTCTTCAATCCAGAAAGGCAGCTGTGACACCAGGGGAGTGGCAGATGAGCAGCAGCAGCAAAATTAGGAAGCAAATATTAGAGCCGTGGACTTAGCAACCCACAGAGCAAGTAAAGCTGAGTGCTGTTGGACAGGAGGCTGCCTGGTGGAGTGAGTTGCCTCTGGGCACGTAATTCAGGGAACTAGACTTGCTGACCAACGAATCTAAAGCTTAGTGCCTTCGGGTCGGTTTTCTGGAATGGGGTGTCTCTGGGCACTTGATTTGGAGAGCTGAGCACCGTCAGGTTGAAGCTTACAGTGGAGTGGCATGTCCTTAGGACATTTATTAGGAGCCCTAAAATAATTTTGTAACATGTCCTGACTAAACAACTGCATCCTGAGCATTTCCACCTGCTTGGTAACCTTTTAACTTCCATAATAAACCCCATAATCATAAGCATTGTGAGTTCTGGGTGGCCACTGCAATGTGTTACAGGCCCTGACAGGCAAAGGAAAGAGTGCTGTGGGAGACAGAGCAACTACTAAAAATGCAGCTGCTTACAAGACTGGGCAGAAGGAAATCTCTATGTGTACACCTGGAAAGGTGGCTATGATCATACTGTTGACTGCAAAAAGGTGCAAAACACTGTGAATGTTTCATTAACAATGGCATTTATAAATTTGAAAAATACATCAAAATCATTCTGAGAGGACAAACTCTAAGCTATCAACATTTATCTCAGAGAAAGAAAATGATGTGGTTATCAGAGGAAATGAAAAACTTTACTTCATACATTTCTGTTGTCTTTAATGACAAGCATGTGTAATTTTTGTTACTAATAATTATATACGTATATAAATTAAATAATTACCTTTAAATGCATTATTTGTCATTATTCCACAATTAAACTCTATGAAGGAAGTTTAAGTCACTAAATCCATGGATCGTTAGGTCCCCTGAGAGTCTTTTATGCACCTAATCCCAGCACGAAGCAGTTTCTGGTTCATAGGTGTTTGCTAATTGTCAACCAAATTAATTGATTATAGAAACAGGGAGGATGAAAAGGACCTTTCTCCAAGAAAGGTCTTTTAACTATTCTTTCACTTTTAGGACAAGGACAGTCTTGAAATCAGACAATAATTTTTAGTTTCATATGTCTCAGAAAAACTAAAAATTACAGTTTCTTTCTCTTATCATCTTTCAAAAGTTACAAGTGAAGAAAATTTGTTTTATATACTTTCCCAAAATAAAAACTGACATTTACTAGAACCATGAGTATAGAAACCAGTTAGTATACAAACACTTCTAAAACCAAACCCAATGCTGCCAATTCGAGGCCAACTCATAGCTGCCCTATAGGGGAGAATAGAACTGCCCCCAAAAGGTTTTCATGGCTGTAAATATTTAGGGAAGCAGACTGCCTCATCTTCCTCCTGCAAACAACTGGTGGGGTCAAACCTAGACTCTGGGTTAGTAGCCAAACACTTAGAGCTCCCAGAAAGTACTTATTATAGGCACAGCTCTTATCCCAAAGTGACTTTTCAATACACTCGGGTTTAAGCTGAATACACTTACGTTCTCTGTATTCTATTTCTGCTTCCTTACGCAGCTTCTTCTCTCTGGCAAGAGCTTCAGGGCTTCCCCACACCTCCAATGATCTGTGCACACACACGGCCACCAACAATGAATAATTTTAATGACTTTATCTTACCCACATTCAAATCTAAATAAATTATTTGATCAATCAGGTTATCTTTAACAACCAGTTGTAAAATCCAGTAACTATGAGAATTGTATAACAAGGCATTAAAGGCCATTAGGCAAAACATAAAGCAGTTAATTAATGAACTTTTCTAAATTAAATATAACAAAAAAGTACAACCAATTTTCCTCTAAATTAGACATATTTTTGGTTAACAAGTACCTATCAATTAGTTCCAGAGAAACAAATTTATAACAAAAAAATATTCTCTTGTCTTAAAATGTTATATTAAAAAGTCTGAATTGATCTATTTAAGTGTGATATTATTAATCATAAATTTTACTTGTACTTTTATTCTAAAAGATGTATGTTCTTACTTTGTCTCCACATCTGATCGCAAGTATACAGTAAACGACTCAGTATCTTCATGGGGGCTTCGTCGTCGGATTTTTCGAAGTTGTTCTAGATCACTAGAAAAAGAAATGTATTGAATTAACTCCGGAGTCCAAATCTCACATAGCTTATGAATTTAATGCTGATAGAAAGTTAAAAAAAAAAAGCAAGTACCCAACAGAGCTTTATCTTAAAAGAATATATATCTGCACGTATATCCAGATATATAATAAAACATATGGGAGGGCAGTTATGGAAGCTTCTTCATCAAAACCAAACACTGAGCTTGAAGGCTAGGATTGGCGCCTCGGGGGCATCCAGGTCAACCGTTATAGCATAAAGATAAGGTTCTACATCCTAGTTTGGTTAAGTACCATCTGGGATCTTAAAAGTTTGTGAAGTTACCTAAAATACAACTGGTCTCTTCCCATCTGAGGCAAAGAACAATGAAGAAAACTGAACAGTCAAGGAAGCAATTAGTTCAAAGGACTACTAGCCCGCATGAACCACAGACAACTCTAACCTGAGGCCAGGAGAACTAGAGGGTATCCAATACCGCTACTGACTGCTCTGACCAACCAGGAACACAACAAACGGTCCCAGTCAGAATGGGTGAATGATGTCCAATAAAATGCAACTTCATTTCATAGACCAGTTACTGGTGTGACAGAGACTACAGGAAACCCCAACATGACTCTCCTAAGATAACCTTCTACCTTGGAACTGAAGCTACCTACTCCCTGAGACCACTTTTCAGCAATATGTTAGAGTAGTTTATAAAAAATAAACAACGCCTGGAAGAAACGTGCTCCTTAGAGCATGAATCATAGAGACTAAAAGGGCAGATGAGGAGACAAGAAGGGGTGGGGAACCAGACCAAGGAAGTAGCAGCAGTGTGCTGGCACATGCAAGGGAGCGTGAGCAATGTCATGGAATAATTTGTATTAACTACTGCTGAATGAACTAATATCCTGGGCACTTTTTCACCTAACACCCAATGGTCAAAAAAGAGTACCGATCAGAGTAGTTTTGAATGATAACATTTCATACGCAGAAATTGGTCAACAAACAGCAAAAATAAGAAGAAAAAATACCCAAATCCTGTTGATGCTCAAAATAGTTACTATAACTGTAGAGACTCATTTCCTCCTCAGTACTTGTTTTTTCTCTGCGATGAACATACTGTTGGGATCTTGATGTACACACAAAAAGTGAAAGGTGGAAAGAACATGGACTGATCAGAGCATAATCCTCCTACTTAAGAATTTTAATTAAAAATTTAGTCATAGTTCTTTACATCCATATTAATACTATAGTAGCAGTAAACATCCATTAGTATCAAGTGATAAAGGATATATATCAATTCCATGCTAGGAACCAAACCTATTTTTTTTAAACAAAGAAATCACCAGCTATCATAGGTTCCTGAAAATGTTGGACCAGACATCAAATAATTGGTTATTCTACCACCCTCTCTTCCACTAACTCACTATATTGGGTGGGTCAAGTCAATGACTCAATTCAAAGAATTTTTATGAGAACGTAAACCCTCTCTGTGAAGTATTATTATTACTCTATGGGAGGTCCAAGGGCAGTGAAAAAGAGGACGGCTCGGCATGCTGGGCAGGCACAGGGCTGCAACAATGGGCTCAAACAGCAACCACCGTGAGAAGCGGCAGGCCTCGGTGTACAGACGCTGATATGAGCTGGAGCTGACTCGAGAGCACCTAACAACAACAAGGTGAACCAGTCTGACTAGGTTATAGCTGCATAGCAGTGTTACCACATATACTCGAGTATAAGCTAACTTGAATAACAGCCGAGGCACCTAATTTTACCACAAAAACAGCATTAAAAATGTCCTGAAAAACTCGGCTTATACATGAGTATATACGGTATATTGCTTGCTGTTTTGAAAGTTATGATGCTGATTATAGGCATCTTTATTTCTTGGTAATACACCATGGCAGGATGGGCCCAGCCATAGGGTAGGAATAACAAATGGTCTGATTCATCTGCTATCTCTAATTAGCAACAAATCTCCCCTGTAAATATTGCTCTTCTTCCTCAGACGAGGGGAGAAAGTTTAAATTAGTGACAAATATTATTTCAATAAATCCCTGTGATTAAAATAAACCAAAATATACCAGGCAGTAAGTAGTAAGAGAATTTACACACAACAGCAAGCACAGTTGGAATGTTAACAAAAATGTAATTAAGTACACAACGCACTAGCCAAAAACAGCAACTTTAAAAAAAATCAAACGTAAATATGCTAATAATCTCACTGGCAATTCTGCTTCATGCCATTAACCTCATAATAAAACTCCTAAGAAGGTCTTTGTGTGATAGAAGTTCTGGAGACCCTGCCTGTGAGTTTAAGCAGCAAAAACACCCAGAAAAGATGAGAACTGCTCATGCAGGGACAGAATTCAGGTTAGTACGATCATAATTTGGAACATTTTTGACTGAATAAAAATATTTCTTCACTTCAGAAAGGGGCCTTTGAGATGGCGTGGAAGTCCCCTAGGGTTCCCAAGGCTGACATCTTTACAGAGACTGCCCTTCTCGTTCTCCTGTGCAACAGTTGGTAAGCTCTAGCCATCTGGTTAGCAGCTAGCTTGCCCCACCCTCTTGGCCCTGCAAATAACCATGTGTGTCTTACATTAACAGGGCTTCTCAGGTCATACAGATTTACCTACCAGCCATAAGAGGGAGGAAAAGAGAGGGAGTTGCTGTTTAAGAAGCAAGGAGTTTCAGTTTATAATGGGAAATTTGGAGACCAATTATTAGTGTTGGTTGTAGAATATGATTAATATAATTGATGTCACTACATTGTACACATGAAAAAAGCTGAATCATAAATGTGTTACATCTATTTTTTATTATAGTATTTTTTAATCATTTTATTGGGAACTCATACAATTCTTATCACAATCCATCCATCCATCCATCCATTGTGTCAAGCACATTTGTACATTTGTTGCCATCATCATTCTCAAAACATTTGCTTTCTACTTGAGCCCTTAATATCAGCTCATTTCCCCCTCCCTCCCTGTTACCCCTCCCTCATGAACCCTTAATAATTTATAAATTATTACTATTTTGTCATATACATGTATTTTTACAACACCTAAAAAAAGAATGAAACGGTTAAAAACTTTTTCCCTCATTTTAATTATTCACTGTACCTGGATTTAAGACAGAACTCATTTATTGCTCTGACTCCAGTGATGAAATTATTCTGAGTGTACTTTGGTCCATATTCTCTCTTCTTAAGGACTGCTTTGACTGAAACAAAAACATATAGAAACATCAAATATGCACTTTTAAAGTTGCATTTCCAGAAGCACATACCCTAATGTTTACATGGGGACTGACCTCTTTGCTGATGCAGTGAAGGGCTTAAAAACAAATTCTCCAAAGCGGGTTAGAATCCAATTACCTCTGGAGCAACCTCCCTTGGATTCTGTGGTTCACTGGTGACTCCTGCCAAATGCTAACCTTCTGTCTCTAATGGACACCTCAAACAAGTACTACTGCTGTCTATCAATTTAAGACCGTTTTCTAAATTGTTCAATGTGTGATACTGAACTGAACAACTGAAATACTGAAAAATAACTGACATTTCAATTTCAAAAAGTTTAGGTAGTTCAGTGTCTGACAAACTGAGTGCATCAACATTTTATAAAAAGTGAAAACAGAAAGCAATAAAAGAGAACTGCACATAATTGAGATTAAGTGCTTTTGGTGAAAACTTGTTACAGTTATATAATTTATGTGTACACTACATTTTTGTATAAAATGTATTTATTTGGGCTTCTGTCAAAAAGTCTAAAAGCCACATGACTACTTCACAAATTGTTAACAAAGCTGAACCAAACGAAAGAACACTTTGTGCCAGCAAAAACTACTACAGGATTGAACAGCAAATGCTTTCTTACACAAGAAAACTCCAAAAAGGTCATAGAAAAATGGAACTAAGAGAAAAGAATTTTTCCAAGAACTTTATGAAGGCCCCTTAAATATATTTTTACTACAATGAGTTTTTTAAAGTTTATTACAGATTATAGGTAAATGGTCTCCTATAATAGTAAATTACTTTACTATTAACAGGTACTAAAACTGCTAATAAAATGATGGCCCGAATAACACAATACTAATTTGCATCAATAAGAGTCTATGAATCAAAAATTACAATGATCAATGGTCTGTGATTATGTTGTAAAAGCATATGAAGTCAAACTTTTCATCAAACGATGCAGATAGATGACATAAGCAAACAACTGAAGGGCGAGAACAAAACAACAAGAGCCAGTGTGCTCTCCTTCAAATGACCACCTAGCAATTGCATGTCGTATTCCTATCTAATTGCTTATGCGTTTTCTGTTCTACTTCCCAGGTTGAAAGAGCAAACCCTAAAATCACCCATCACTGTAGTGGCTACAAGGAAGTGGTGGCGCCATGGGTTGTTCGCTGGCCCACTAACCCTACGGCCAGCCCCGAGCCCACCAGCAGCTCCTGCTCCGTGCAGATTCCAGCCTTGGAGACTCACCGGGCCAGCTCTTTCTCCCAGCCCTACAGGGCCATTAGAGTCAGAACCAACTTGGCAGCCGTGAGGGTTATTTGTGTTGTTTTGTTTCTCACATTGAGTAAAAAGACTGTTAAAATAACACAAAAAGAATGCTAAAACACATTATCACATAAAGTCAAATTACAATGACTACATAAGAATACCTCAAAAAGTAAAACTTAATATAAAAATGAAAGCTACTGAAAAAAGACACGCAAGGAAGTTTAGAGTTCTTTTTAGATGAATTTCAGATCTAAACTGCTTTGTTTCAATAACCCATAAATTCAAAATCAGATGAACTCCTCTGAAACAGAGAGAATTACATCTCTCTTCACAAAGTTCATTTTAAAAATCCATTCAAAGAAGCTAGAAATCCCTGATGGTCTATCCTGACACACATTATTGATGCTGGTATTAACTGTCACATCAACAGCAACTTAAATCTAAGTGTGTACTCTGCATTATCTTCAACGTTCCTTAAAAAGAGGTCCCATTTTTAGCAGTATCTTATGAGAAAAAACTATGGCTCAGAGAGTAAACTCTGACCATGACCAAGTAAACCGCCCAAGATCACAGCTAGTAAGTTCTGGAGCCACACAACAAACCCAACCTTGTCTGACCAAAGTCACGATCCTCATTACAAAGCTTTGCTGCCTCAAGAAATATGGTGCTTTGGAGACAGAGCCACAACTTTCAGCAAACAGCAGGACTGAAAGCAGGAATTCCTGCAGAATTCATTGACACCTGAATAAAGAACACCATGTTAAGAATGTCCAAACCACCTGGATTTGGACAAGCTATAGCTGGTAGGTGCTGGACCTCTTGTTCTTTATTCACATATGTCAACAACAAAAAATACAATGGTTCAGCAGTTGATGACTACTGTTTTTCATTACTTCTTTCTTTGGACTTCTGAAGAAATAATTAGCACAAAATTTGTGACTGAAGACAAAATAAACTGCATTAACTTTTGAAAACAATACCTTGAGGTGACAAAACCAGAAAGACTCATACAAACTAATTTTGTATAGATTATTCAAGACATCACTTTAATAAAGAATAGAATATATTTACCTCTTACTTGGAGCGGCTCTTGCTTCATAAGTGTAGCTTTGATTCCTATATTTTCTGCTGTAAAATTTATTAAAAATGCTTACATTATATCATTTTAAACAACTATTTTCAAACAAACCTATAAATTGAGTTAATCGTGATTTTTATGTTAATTTAGCAATGTCTGAAAAGATATACATTATAGACCAATTTGGAGTTCTCTCACAAATGCAAGAGTAGTCAAACATTTAAAAAATCTATTCATTCAAAAAAAATATATTCAATCCCCTCATTTCAAAGTCTACAGAAAAAGCATTTAATAAAACTCACCACCCATTCTAAGCTTTCTTAGAAAATTAGAGGAAAGAAGATAATTTCGTTAAAGGGCAAGACAGACCACCTACGGGGTATTCAATGGTGAAATTTCAGGTGCCTTCTCTTTAAAATGAAAAATAAAAGGAATTACACCAAAGATGAACCGTGAAGATGACTATTCTTTTCAAAACCGTGAAGATGACTATTAAATAATGCTAAGATAACTGTGTAACCTGTTCCCTCCTTTAGCAAGTAAATATAATTTCATTTTCCCTCTATACTTTTAGAGTTATTACTCTAAATTAGTTCCTCTTTGTCTTCTGCATAAGGAACTCTGCTAGCATTGTGGATAATTGGTCGGCAAACTACAAGGCTGGCAGTTCAAACGCACCAGACACTCCAAGGCCAAAAAGACAAAACTGCCTACTCACATAGAGAAGCCCTAAATTAGTCGCTGAGTTGGAATCGACTTGATAGTGGTGGTTTGGGTTGTTGTCTTCTGCATATTGTTGTACAGAAATTTCTATCTTCTGCATGGAAACCCAGGTGGTCTGGATACTCTTTTTTTTTAATTGTTTTATTACGGGTTCATACAACTCTTATCACAATCCATACATACATCAATTGTACAAAGCACATTTGTACATTCATTGTCCTCATCATTCTCAAAACATTTG